GTAGCATTACCACAAGAGTTTATCTGTTATTATGTTTTATATACATGTTTATATACGGTACTGTATCATATAGGCCTATTTATGCTATATACACTTTTTTTTCATAAGAACCATTAAAATTTTGCCCAGGCTTAGTGTTCTTATTTTTTGGCCGATTTCAGGCTCAAAATGTTCTTAATTTGTTCTTATTTTACACACTTTTCAAACATAGAAAATTATTATTGTACAGAAAAATTGGCCCTGAAAAAATGCCTTGGAAAATTGCCCCAGAAAAAAGGCCTGGTAAAAATGCCCCCAAATGACAGTACACCTGATTATAGGGGGTATTACATAGTCACACCTACATTACTGCATATAAGGTACAGATATAATTTTTTTGTTTTTCAAAAACCTCATTTGACATTTTACCTCAGCCTCAATTTGTTCTTATTTTGTTCTTAATTTTTAAGCAATTTCAGCCTCAGTTTTCTTATAAAATATGTTCTTATAAAAAAAAAAAGTGTGTACGATTTTTCCTACCCTCAATAACTTGCCACTGAGGAAGTCTTAAATTTCTGGTTCTTACTGGTTGTTAAACCAGGGAGGACATTAAACATAGCTTTGCTCTTCAATATTGTAGGCCTATCTCAAATACCGTACAGTACTTGCCGTTTAATTAAAATATAGGCCTTATCATTTTTTCCCTTTATTTTAGCTCTGTTTCTATCATTAACAATTTCACTGGAAAATTGGTAAATGATATGAGGCTCGAACCTAGATTTGCGAGTCATAACGACTTCACCACATGAGAGAGTTGTGGTGAATCTAAGTGCCAATAAACTTTGAATTCATTGCTTTTAACGTTTCTGACGTCACAATTGTGATATAGCACTAATATTGTATGTGACTTGACTGTCAGATATACACGTCAAATATACACATCCCCCCCCCCCCACACACATATATAATATAATTATTCATATATACTTTATAGAGTAGCTGTTTTAAGATACGAACAAACATTTTTTTTCTACATCTACTGTACTTTAAGAGTAGTTAGGTGATATTTTACCAAGGAGTCGCTACTGTTAACCGATGTTTTGCCTCCTGGTACTTCGCCACTTTTTTGTTTTGTTTTGGAATGTGTGTAGGTTTTTTTTTTTCTCATCTTAATGAGAGCTCCTGACCGTCGTGATGACAATGTTTGTTGGAACCGTTGAATTAAGCTCAGCCTCCTTATATGGCAAGCTTAAACTTCAACAGAAAACTGTAGCAACATATTTTCTCCATTTTTATTGTCTCGTTACTAATGGATTCCAGATAGGGACGGGAACGGATGATCCGTAGAGTCTCTCACCTAAGGCAAACGCTACAATTTAAACACTTAACTGACACTTTATACCCAATTAGAACGGCACGTTCTGCGAGCTGAGAACGGGTCTTCCCGTGCTCCGTAGCCATCCCAGGCCTAATGAGTACAGTACAGATGAGTAGAAATATCAACGTTAATAACATAAAAGCACGTCCTCGAACGCGACAACGTGGTGGATTATGAGTTGATATTTTCGCGGGCCATTTTACTAATACGCACTAACGACTTGGTTGACAGAATGCTTGAGAGCGTTCGCTAAACGCGGGTGAATGACTGGCTAACAACGTGAATGCACGAGATTCGCCACATTATCTCCCATTACTTTTCTGCAAATCATCTGCAATACTAAGAGTTTAATGTTAGCAGCAAACACTTAACGAAAACGATTTAGTTCAATATTCTTAATACTTTGCAGATATGTTGACATACTTGAAGACTGGCAAATGTTTCAGTCGTTTTTGAATAACAAGTTATTGCGAGAAGTGATATTAATATTACAGCAAATGCAAAATTAGATCAATGATATACGAATATTGTTTCACGTTTTTTGTACCGGGTACTTCATTTTGTTATAAGCAATGTTAATTGTTAGCATCTTAAATAAGGCAATGTGATTTGAAAAGATTGTCATCGATAACAAAATCTATGAGATTCGACAAAACAAAATGTCTGGACATCTTGAAATAATTCACTTCTTCTGACTACTTCCACGCCCCCATTCACATTGACGCGCTCACGTTTCTCTATTAATTGACTCACACCCTGTTTTCATCTTATTTCAACATAGGCGCGGATCAATAATTTTTCAAACGTGGGACAGGGGGAGGGAGAACCAAATTATCAGAATAGATACAGGCAGTGAGGAGAGATAACAGCAGTGGTATAACGAAGAGGCCGGACGAGGCCCTATTGCAACATTTTGTATTTGCATTCTACTTTCTATTCTTTCATGGCATGAGTATGATATGGACACTGCACTGAAATGTACGAATGTGGTGGAAAAACGGGGAACGTCCCCCCGTTCCCCATCCCCCATTTCCATTCGCCCCTTTTCGGCGCATATGGAAATAAAAAAATAATAGTGGGTTATTTATTTATTCATTCGTTCGTTCGTTCGTTCATTCATTTAGCACACAACACATAAGGATTGTCAAATAGCGAACATATCACTGTCCAATCCCCCACAAGACAAACGTACACACACAATCTCATTATGAAGTTTAGGGTGTGGAGTTGTTGTTCCCATTTTTGGCTGCCAGCGTTTCACCTTTTTTTAATTTTGCTAAAAATAGTTCCTAAAAAAGCCCATATCGCGTCGCTGTGCTGCTATCAGCCTCTAACTATTGTATTAGTAATATTGACCCAACGGTGTTTCTGGGGTTACTGCATGTACACTGGAATTAACTAGAATCATATTAGGGCGACCTCTACCGTAAAATAAAAGTTTACAATAAACATAGATACATCAAAACAATTGTTTATGCAAGGCTAACTGATAGAATTTTTATTGATCGCATAATATGGCGGGGCTGCATTAGATTATTGACTTGGTAAGATGAAAACAGAGGATACCTACCCATAATTAATTGATGAAAGATAAAGGATATCTTTGAATTTAATTATAATATCATCATCCATTGAATCATAATAACATCATTCATTACGTTCTTGTCATAGACACGGAGGCTACATTCTTCCAATCTGAGCGATTACTCGCTCTGCGTTTAAACTCTGTTCGAGGGTTGATGTTGAGTATATACATATGTAAATACTAAGATATATATTTATGTTGTATTGCAAAATAAGTTGACGGATCGTGTAAAAGTCGAAGAATTTCTCATTGACGCAGCTGGTGCACTATCGCCACTGGACAAGACCGTTTAGATTATCAACCGTTTTATTATGAAACATTCGGGGAAGAGTTCGTGAGTAACATCACTTACAAACAATTACAGGACAATTATAAGATTCTGGTCAATTCACATGTATGATAATCTCCATTATCTTTAAATTTCCGACTAGTTAGCGAGCCTTTGTCAGAATGCAACTATTGACCCGAGCGCTTGTGTGTGTTTACCGTACATCGATTCATTAAACTGGCGGCGCGTCTGCTTGTTGGCCGTGCCGTGATCGGCAATTGCGACGATATTAAAACTCTCGATAATGTTTATCAATGTAATACCGGTTAAGCACTTTATAAATGAAAACGAATTTGCTGGCGCGGAAATGATTTAATAGACGAGTTATTTTCTTGAAAATTGCACTTGTATTTCAATTTCCTTTATGCTCAATGGGAGGATATTTGGATGAATGTATTCGCGAGTAAGCCTTTGACGCAGAGGCAGTGGAGTATATCGCCTGGATGAACCTTCCTCAGTAGCGTGCGAGGTTAAATTGTGACTTAATGCATTAAAAAAATTATTAATTTAGAATAAATTACACAGAATTACCTTTGTTAAAACCATCTTCAATGGAAATAAAGTCAAACCTTAGCGTTCGTTCTACAAGTAATTAATTTTACGTAGGCCTATACATACACGATTAATGTATATTAATTTCTATATTCATATGTATATTTACGATATATACATATACGGTATATGTATATATATCTGTCTCTTATACACATCTAAAATAGCTTTGCTCTTCAATACTGTAGGCCTATCTCAAATACCGTACAGTACTTGCCGTTTAATTAAAATATAGGCCTTATCATTTTTTCCCTTTATTTTAGCTCTGTTTCTATCATTAACAATTTCACTGGAAAATTGGTAAATGATATGAGGCTCGAACCTAGATTTGCGAGTCATAACGACTTCACCACATGAGAGAGTTGTGGTGAATCTAAGTGCCAATAAACTTTGAATAAGATAGCCATAACACTGTACAGTACAGGTATTTACCTTTAAATCAAAGATTTAAAAGTTTTCAATTAATTCCTAACAGGAGCTTGAAATACATAAGTGCACTACAAAACAGGTATAGGGTGAAACATTCGAATGACACAGAAGTGCAAAAATTATTAATATAATTTGCAGGTAGAAGTAAATGTATTTTTTAAAGTAATAAAAATATAAGAATTGGTCCGGCCAAAGCCGGTGCGGTTCTGATGGCCCTGTGATGTGATGTGATCATGGCCATATTTAGGCATGTCACGTGTCTTTGTCAAATAAAATTTGATAGTGTGGACATGGCTTTAGTAGAGATTTTCATGTTTGACATCACACATTATGGAAAACGGAACATAAATTCCTTTGACTGCAAAACCACTTATGTTATATAGCGCATTAATGATATTTATGGCATAGTACTGAAGTAAAAACAAGATGATTGGACAAAAAAAAAATACACATTTGTGTAATTTAATACTCTACAGGTATTTAAATTTTAAAAATTGTAGATAAATGATATTGTCAGTAATATATATATAAAAGTAAATTATACTGTGCAGTATTAATATATAACTTATATGAACAGTCTACAATTTAGAATTTTGGGGATTGTTCTTCAATCTGTTTTTCCATTTGTAGTTTCTAAATATTCTTATTGTATTTTGCAGTTGCACGTTTAAAAAAATGCTGTACCCAGTTTTCTACTGTTATTAAACTGTTAGAAATCGTTGTTAAATAAAGACAATTAAAACACAAGGTTCTTTCTAAATGGTATTATTGTATCCTAGAGCATTGGCAAGTGATAAGTGGTTTGTAAATAAAATCAATGCAATGCATCACCAATTACAGACAAAAAATATAATATATTACATAAAAAACTGAACGTTTTACACCATCTTCATATAGTACAACACTAGGTGTCTTAATGAAAAGCAAAGATCTTACAATTTGCTAATAGCATGCCCACCAATTGATTGCTTTACCATAACATTTCTTAGGGCTTTTGTAAACATATATGCACAGTGTCTTTAATACAATTCTGTTAAGAAATTTTAAGCTGAAGAATAGATTACTTTACTATAACGTTTCTTTAAAGGATTTTATTGTACATATTTATGTTACAAAGTAATACCATTTATTGTTTTTTAAAATACAGTATATATATAAAAATGTTTATGAATTCCAAAGAGGAAGTTTGATGCTATCGATACAAGGATGAATATGATTAAGTCACCTAAAAGCATTTAAATTTATGATTTCAACATGATCGCCTTAAAAGTGGGTCACGCCAATAATCACAATATTATAAAAGCTGAGTAATTATAAACAAAATGTGCAAAATGTCCTTAAAGCATTGTCTACACATCACATCATGACCATATATAGGCACATCATGACTATATATGGGCATACAACAGTTTTTTTGTCAAATCAAATTTGATAGTCAGGGCTTTCTATATGATGTTGCACATTCATAATGTTAACAAGTATTTTCTTAAATCTTTAGTATGCAAATTATGGAAACAGGAAAATTATGGAAACAGGAAAACAAGAAAAAAATAACCCTCTTGGACAAAATTGACCACTGCACCAAAATATCTATAAAGTTAAAATATAGGGTTACAACACATTTAAATTACAATACCGTATATGTATTACATCATATGCTACGCTACATTTTATTATACACTAATTTATCAATAGTGTATGTGAAACCAACTACGATACTCTAGGATTAAATAGTGGGGACCTTACCCACTATAACTATATTTCTGCTTCTTTTCCTCTTAATTCAATATGATTTTGTTTATTTAAAAAATTGTTATACGATAATAGTCATAATAGTGCTTTAGTATCTTGAAAAATTAATATTGGAGACACCAATGTCAAATTCTAATGTGCATGTTTGTGGAATTGAACACTAATATGCAGTTAGCTGTACCTATTAATTGTATATGTTGCATAATTAATCTCAATCCTTAGCGAACTATTATAAATCAGTTGTTTTCCATTGGATGGTCAATAAACGTATGTACAATGAGAGTTTCTAACTTCGTATTTCCACTTTTTGAAAATATATCAATTTGATGGCGTGGTGTTCGTACTGCGTAGTGGCAGACGTGACTTAGTTTGCATGTTCCGGACCTTACCCCTCATCTTGCGTTTGCTCACGCTGGACATATCTTTTGGTATTACAAAATTCTCCTTACATTCAGTCTCGTCCTAAAATAAGAAAAACATATTTATAAATATTATACATACATTAAATATATTTAAATACATACAATTATATATATATATAAATATATATATATTTACATACATTTTGATATTATTTAGGAAACTTTCAAAGCAATTTTATAACTATTTAAATGACTAAAGAGCCAACTGGAAAAAAAGGGATTGGGGTATCAGGTTCTTAATAGGTAGTTTTCGTTAACCTTACGTTAACTTTAACGTTAGTACCCAACATGCAGCGCGATAGCTCCGCCGCTTTTGTAAACAAATGAAAATACGCATACGCAAACACGTAACTAACGTACGTTGAGCACGTAAAATCCTGAAATTAACGTACTCCGCAACGCAAGATGAATAAATTATGACGGCATCCGTTAACCTTAAGGTTAACATCGTGTGGTGAAAACTACCTAATAACCTAGATGAATCACTGAAACCCTAATTAAAAATTGGGAGGGGGATGGCTCCTAAAGTGAACTGAATCACTGGCGCTCTAACTGGAAACTGTTTGTGTGTATGTGGGGCGGCGGTTTATTTCCCTACACCCACTATTATTTAGTAGACTTGCTAAGAACAGTTGCCAATAAAGTATAATATATATTGAGTGTTGCATAAATTGTTTTACCTGTGATTGTGACAGATCGGAAATGTAACTTAGATTCTCTGAACTCCCCATACGCGATTGTGATAACGCTGATACTGGTCTTTCTGGACTAGAGCTCAAAGTTACCTATGGATAAGCAGAGCAGGTAATAATAAGAAATAAGGAAAACAAAAACTGTTTTAAACTGACATGTGGTGTGATGGAAAGCTTGATGAAAACAAAATGTATTTAATCTTATTATTTTTTTGAGCCATGGTTTTGAAATCTTACCTCACTATCTGAAAAATCCGGTAGAGGCAAGGCGGCAGCTTGCTTAACTTCATAATCCGTACGGAAGGTTTGCAAGATCTTTTCATGTGGAGATGTCTTGGACAGCTTCCTTGGATAAAGGAACTCCCTTCTCTGTGGTGTTGTGCCTGGTTTAAGACAAATACAGTAAATAGTGATACAGTAATGGAATGATAATTCAGGATGATTATATTTTTAGCAGGCATTAAGAATAAAACTGAAAATGAACTGATCCTATCAGGTGATGACTGCTAACCTGTTGGCATGTCTTTCTTCATCTTCATTGTTACAAAGTTCTCTGCCATTTGCGTTGTGACGGTAAATTCTTCCTCCATGCCCTCTGTCCATAATTCAAGATCTTCGTTCTGGTCTTTAAGTGGTCTGACTAAGACTGCCAATGATGTTTGCAAACCGTGATACTGATCTTGTACTGTATTGTGTGTTGTCCTCATCTGTTCTTTAAACTCTGTCTTCAGACACTGCAGATATATACATGTACAAGGGAAAGATATAAACAATAGTCTATATATCAGCATATCTTATTCATTGCGAGTTATATTTAATCTATTTCCCTAGTAGCTATAATGCCATGACTATGACTAGAGCTATTTGTTAAATTAATTTATTCATGTACAAACTTGGCTTCCTTGAGGCCACAGATAAATCTGTCATAAGAGAGTATGAAATAAACTAAAGAGTATAGATCTGCAAAGGTCTGACTGCCTTGATTTTGTGTGCACGCAACATTAAAAAAACATACTGTCATGAAATAGGGGGGCGTCTTGTTAGAATTCGAATAGATTTCGCTCGAAACTTGTGACAGTACTTCTTGAAATACGATTACGACAAATATATTATTTATCTTACATCAACACCAGCTGTGTGTTTCTCTGTTTCTTGTTTTACTGTTGTCATCTGTAATTCTAATTCTCTTTCAAGATCTGCCTTCTGTTGGTTGAAAACATCCACCTCTTCCTGGACAAAGTTCTTTAGGTTGCTTTCCAGGTTACAGTTAGTCTTTGCCGTCTCATCATGGCAGTCACATGCCTAAAACAGAAAACAAACAAATGTAAAGTTTCAACGGTATAGCTCTGTCCAGATTATCAAAAAACAGTTGTATGCCCATATATAGTCATGATGTGCCTATATATGGTCATGATGTGATGTCATCATGACCATATTTAGGCATGTCACATGTTCTTGTCAAATGAAATTTGATATTCTGGATAGGGCTTCTGGCAAGACTGAGTAGCACTAACATCAGAGGAGGAGGGGTAAACTTAAATCTAAAGCAGTGTTTTGAGGTTTAATTTTCTAATGGTGATGCTTGTATACTTGTAAAGCACGTAACACAAAACCTTGTCTATGCACTATGTGTATTGTAAAAATAGATAATTTTCAATTGATTATAGAAAATAAACACTTGAATACACACATACCTGAGCCATGTCCTCAACTATCTTATCTGTAAACTCTTCCGTTTGTGAGTTGAATTGAACTGAAAATTCTTCAGTAGCTGTAGCAATATGACCCACAGACCTGAAAAGCAGGTTTTATAAATTATCATTTATTATTATTTATTTATTATCTACTGGATACTGCTTCTGTAGTAGTAGAAACTTCCTACAGCTGCAATCAGTCCTTCATTTGAAGCCACTTTATCTTGTTGCTTGCGAGCATCCTTAGCTCCCTTTAGTTTCTTGCCCGTTCTATAAATTTTCCCATCAGTGCCTCCTTGATGTCTGCTCGCAGAGTGCTCAGTAAGTTTGTACAGTGAAGCCCTCTGCGAGCTTGGTACTTTCTGTTACATAATTATAAGTGTTCTTGCATGATACCCATTTGGGACAAGTTTAAGGCATTTTTTGTGTGACTTGAATATAATAACAAAAATAATAATATAGAGGACAATGATGATGACAATGTGAACAACATGATGATGATGATGATGGTAATAATTTTTATATAGCACTGTTTGAATGTGTTGGTTACATACTGAGCCATGCAGAAAGTGTAACCACCGCCAGTTTTGCATTTATCTTATAAAAACCGAAATTTTTTTGTTTTTGTTTTTAGCATTACTTACTCCTTTACTTCTGTTTTAAGTTCCTTTGCCTGATTTATCACCCTTGTTTGCTGACTTTGTAACTGAAAAAATAAAAAAATTGAGAAACATGTAAAGGTTGTCCACCATTTCAAAAGTGACATTAAATCTGTAGATGTTATAATATTTAGGCGGTAAACTGAATTAGTAACTTACGCTTTCAACGCCGGTTCTGAGACTGCTGTACTGTGTCACCATCAACTTCTGAATCTGCTCTGTAACTGCTGCAACAAATGCTTCTTGTAACTCCTTAAACATCGACAAAACATTTACAGAATTTAGACAATATACAATCGAGTAAGTATCAGTTAATACACTTGTAAACGAAAAGATGGAACTAGTTTGGCTGATTTTCTTTACAAAAGCAATCTCATTTGGGAATCACCAGTTAAAGTAACAAATTAATAAAATTAAAATAAATAAATAAATAAATAAATACAGGTCTCCCTCCAATTAAAGACCACTTTGGGAATGGGCTTTTCATGGTCTTTAGCAGCTCTGGTCTCTAATTAGAGAATATAACAGACATTTGTTAGTATGGGAACCACAGAAAAATGGTTTTAATTGGAGCATAATGCAATTATACCTGGCCTTGTTTTTCCGAGTCCTCAACAAGTTGCTGTGCTGCCTGTCGTTGCTGTTCAAGTTCTGTTGCTTGTGTTTCCAGCTGAGTGCTTGCTAGGCTTGTGAAGTGCTCTAGCTTCTCCTTCTCCTCGGCAACAAACTGCCTCATGTGCCTTGTCTGCGTCTCACGCTAAAAAGCAAACAACTTGTTTTATCCAACCAATATAATATAATGCAGTAACAGCATGTTTCTAATTGTAGACTGCTGTCCTTTTTCTACATTAATTTGGAAATTTTACTTTTTATCAGTTTAAACTGATTACCTGAAATCTTAGCTGTTCCACCTGTCTTTTTTTTCTTGCAAAAGTTTTATTGAGTTCTCATAAGCACATAAAGCTCTCCGCAATATGTTTCCTACAAGTCGATCATTATTATTTGTGTGGATGGAGAGCATAAAGTCACAAATGAATACAATTTTATCACCAGCATGAAAGTGGTTCAGAAGAGTAGACATCAATTGATGTGTGTATCATATATTACTTACTTGTTCTCTAAGTCTGCCTTTCCATTGGCCCAAAGCCTGGGCATGGACGGACAATTTGCCTTGGATGGTCCTCATACATGGTAGAATTGTGTCAGACAAAAATGATTGCAATGTTTTTACATTTGTTTCCTGAAGCAGTGAGGGAATAAGTAAGAGAAAGGGTTATCATTGAAATTCTGAAATGATGTCAGATAAGATAATAATAGTATTTGTAAAAGTTGTACAATTGTAAAACATTGTGACTTAGAATTATAGGATTTTAAACCAAAGACACTTTGGTTTAATTTTGGTTGAAATTAAAAGGTGAGCATCTCAATCAATAATTTGCTGTTCACACTAGCAAATTGTATGCGACACATTTGTGTGATGTGCCCATATATGGGCATGATGATGTCATATTACACCCAAATATGGGCATATCACATTGAACTTAATGTTTTCAGGCATTCTGCAACCTCCTCAACCCATGTATTGTACCGCCAATAATTATAAATATGCTGATTATTCAGATGATTAGACTAAAACATAATGAGTAGATTAAAACAATGCTTACATTGTGTTTCTCAGTCATATTCAACATTTCATTATTCCACTGTTCTGTAGTCGAACAATATTCCTGATTGCTTGTTGCTAGGTTACAGAGTTTCTTCTCAGTGTTGTCTACAATTGTTGACAGTGTGTTGCAAAGTTTATTCATCTCCTCAGATCTCCCAGTAAGGTCATTATCTAGTATAAAATGTTTTCAAAAATGTGAATGAAATGAAGGGCAAAACTAATAATCTATAGAGGATTTATGTTTTCCAGAATCACAATTGCAAGAGAAATTTGTAAAAAATGTTTAAAAAAAAAACATTTTAAATATGGTATTACTCAAGTGAATGTTGTAATGAACTTTTCCAGAGTGTGAATCAAACTTAACTGACCAATCAAAATAGGGCCAGGAATACGTGTATGTCCTACAAAAATATGTGTATGTCCCACCAACACACATTGTTACGTATGTTTTGCAGGACCTTAGCAAAAATATCAAAGGAGCATGGCTTAGTGGATAGGTTCATTAGCATTTAGCCTGCATTAAGTCTTAATGCATGTTCAAATGTAATCATTCTGAAATATTCATTAGCAACTTGCTTAAGTTGAGCCTCATAACCTCATTTAAGTCTTTGTTAGTGCATAATTCCTCATGTAGTATTGAAAGATAATAACATAGGATACAAATTGTGTTTTGTAATGACACATTTTTTGCTCTTGTTTCGCAAATATATTTTTTTACAGATCATCAGAGGAGGGTGGAAAAAAAATATTGTTTTCTTATTTAGCAACAGTTTTTCTAAAACCATCCGAATGCTAACTGGCCAAAAATGAAATTATATTTGTATTCCAAATCATCATTATTGGCGGGTGGCAGGTTCACTAAACAAGGTACAGAAAAAGTCTCGCCTAACAGTTACAATATAACACGCAAATCTTGTGTAAATGTGGGTGTAATTACTGCCAGAAAAAATCTATTCAGATAGTATAATACATACACCAAGTATCAAAATGTCGGATTTCAATATTTCGACATTAATTATGTCATCATCAGGAATAAATATGTCACCATTATCATTCCTGATGATGACATAATTAATGTTGAAATATTGAATCCCGACACAATGGCGTGCATTTCGATACTTGGAGTATGTATTATACTATCTGATCTGAGATTAATCAGTGGACCTTTCGGTTTTCTGAAAAATCTATTCCTACCAAGATTTTCCTGGTGTTGCTCAATGTATTTTGTTTGCTTCTCGCTGAAATTCGTCAGACTTCCGTGAAGACTCTGCATCTGAGCATGGAAGTTGTCCTGGAAGGTTTTCTGCGCATTATTGTTGTGTTTCTCCACTGCCCTTTTACGATCTAGTTTGGCATGAAGTCCTTCCACATCGCTTGTACTCTCCTTCGTCACACCCAGAAGCTAGATATAAAAAAGATGTACAGTTAAACTTGCCTAAGTCGAATAATTTCTTATTTTACTTATTTTACATGCCAAACTGTTGAGTTTTCCATTAATTAACAATCTGTATGTCAAATTTTATCTAAGTCTAAGAAAAAATTTTCAATGGCATTGTGGATTCAACTTAGGCAATTTCAACTGTATATAATAATTCACAAATTCAAAGCATAATTATTAATAAGGTGTCCATATGCTTCATAACATTACTTTGGTCATTAGATGACTTATGTATCACATATGTGGTGAAATATTCCAATATGTTCCCACTAGTAAACAATGCATCGGGGCTAGCAGGTACCAAATTTTAACCCTAGGTGGGGAGAGGAAGTGAAACCTTTCTTATTGTAGAAAAAAATATACTTCTGTTAACCACTTATACTCACACTAGTTGCTTGTGAGTAGAGTGACTTCTCGGTAGTAACGTGTTTTGACACCAAATGCTTTTGCTCGTCACGATCTTGAGTCGTGTCCCTCAAGACCTTAAAAAATAAAACAGTGAAACAAATAAGTAACTAGCTTGCAGAATATACATGAACTGCACTGGGAAAAACAATTGCCAACAATAGCAGTTAAAGCTCAGTTGGAAGCACTTTCTAGTGGAATAATTTTCTCACCTTCTTTGTTGTGGTTAAATTTGCTTGTGTGTCTTCCAGTGTTTTGGATGTTTCCTCCAACTGCTCTGACTGAATGAAATACATTTCTTGAATCTGAAATTGAAGAAAACTAGTAAGAATATACTAAAAACATCTTTGCAACTGAAAAAAATTAAAATAAAATGTATCAAAAAGATTTTTGATAGCGCAGTAGCTTTTAAGCCAAGTCCAGACCACCAAAAACATGTGACATTTCTATATATGGTCATGATGACAATGATAAAGAGAATCCAATATGGTGGACAGAGCTTCATACCTTTTTCAACTCCTCTTCCAAAGCTTCAATGTTCTCTTGCTTTTCTTTAATTCGGTCTTGTTGTGATGCAATTTGGTTTTCCATAGACCTTTAATAGCAAACAATTTGATTACCAAACAATATTATAATGATTTTGTCCAGGACAGAATGAGAGTATTTTTGGAGTGAAACAAACCAAGGAAAATCCACTTTGACATGGGGGTGGTCCTTTGCAGTTGCACAATGGACCAATTGCATCTTATCTAAAAGGTGGTGCAATATTGTAATTTGTATTTCAGCCTTTTAGCTGAAACACACTTGAAGTAGCGACTGGAAGTGAACTATCGCGCTAATGTTACATAGCTGTTCCATTCAATGACCAGAGTACTAACGCGAAACAAGGGCATAGGAACCTTTATGCGCTATACAATAATGGTTACATTATTTTTAGAATCTATAATTGGAATTTGAAGGCTTCTTACTTATAATTTTCTTCTGATAAAAATATTCCATTTTTCTCCCTGGCAGCTATTAAGTCTCTCCTCAGTCTCTCAATCTCCTCTGTATACTCCTAAAAGACATGGTTTTTTTCAGAAAATAATAAACATCAAATGCATGCATAGCTCTTTGTATATGAATAAACATGAGATGTGGATATATCTTTGTATGAATATAAAGATGTGGGTATGACTGTATGAATAAACATGAGCTATGTTGGTTTGAGTTTCTATATTTAGTAAACAAGGTCATAAGATAGTACAAAAACAAACATACAGATTGATTAAATATCTTATTATATTTGATTGTTTTACTTCGTATGAATAAACATGAGTTATGTGGGTTTTGTATGAATATTTATGAGGACAAATCTTACTTTGATGAGAGTGCGTTTGGTAAGCTTCTGGTTTACTTCTGGTCTGTTTGTGATGTTCTTGGCCCGATGAGCATAATCCAAGGTACTCAGTGTTTCCTCAAGATTACAAGCAACGGGTGAGATGGTAGCAATGATGGACGTTTTGGTTCGCCCACCCAATGAGTCTTGCAATAGACGTGTCAGCTTGCTTTCTCTAAGGAGTCATAAATAAAAACTGTATGCTAAAACAGATCAAAACTTTAAAATATTAAGTGCAACTGTGACACAAATTTGTGAGATTGCCACTTTTGTGTTGAGGTTTTGATTGAGTGTCTTACCTGTAAGGGACGTGAGGTGCATGCTCTACCAGAGCTGTGATGACTCTACCAAGCGTCAGTAAACTTTGGTTAATGTTACCTGAAAAGACAATTATAAAAACACTGCACTTATTATATTAATTTAGGAATTAATTATCTTACAAAAGCAGAAGGGTCACAGTCGTCAACAATTAGTCATGGAGAGTCCCTCCTCTAATATTGGGTGAAAACAAAACAAAAACATTTTCAAATTTACAATGCATTTACTAGATTATAATACTATAGTAAGAGGCGACTTCCATTTCGCAGTATGCCGGAGCACACATTTAAATGAGATATATGAATATTTAATATTTACATACTGCTTAAAGCAAGATAAAAGTGGATTGCACATGTCTTCTTATAATTAATATTAATTAATATTTAAAATATTTCATTTCTGTGTCTTCAGAATTTAAACCTAAAGAATTCTGGGCTATGTGATAGTACCCTGGTGGTAATGACAGTATTCATTTACTTTTGTTTACTTGGTAGGTTTCCCTTTCTACTTACCAGCTTCTCTGGCACGCTTGTCTACAGCACCTGACCTTCCAATGTTCTCGCTACCTGCAAGGTCAACAAGATTTAACTTGCCAATCTTGAGAAGCTCCTCCCCATCTATGTTGTTCTCTTTCAGGTGGATTGTCAGGGAAAATACAGAATGGGATCGACTATGAGGAGATAAATAAATGAATTTAGGTTACTTCTTCTTGCATCTGTGATGACTGGAAATGATTAAACACAATAGAGATTTTGCTCACTGCCTCACGAGGTAGATTTTACACTGAAAGTTTATACAGTTGAACTTGCCTAAGTCGATTCCAAAATGCCACTGAAAAATTGTTCGACTTAGATAAAATTCGACTTACAGATTGTTAATTAATGAAAAACATAACAGTTTGGCATGTAAAATAAGTTCGACTTGATTGACGAAATGATCCGAGTTAGGCAAGGTCGACTTAGGCAAGTTTAACTGTACTAACCTTGAATGGGCATTCATCAATGTAGCTGCCGTCTGTCGTTTAGCAGCCCCCTTCTCTAGAATGGAGTACACCTCATCCTTGTTATGAACAACAACCTCCTCTAGGCCTTGAATAACCACAGAACCCTGAAACGAACAATATCACATGAAATATGTCTTAAATCTAGCACAGTGTGACAATATATTTTTTTAGGTCAAAAAAAAAAATGCTTTTTGATAAAATATAGGCAAAAAAGATAAACAAGGAACCTTTCTTGTGGCATCTTCAAAAATTCTTAAACGCGGTGTATCATCTGTTGGGGCGAGAAGGTCAAAGAGTTCCTCGTTGTACAGTTCGAGATACGACACACGGATGGAAAACTCTACTTCCTGGTCCTTCAGTTTATCAAAGATCTGATGCATGGAACGGGGAATCACACCAGCCAGAGGATCCTGGAATTGGAAATTTTAGGAAACAAATGAGGAAAAAAATATCAAAGAATAATATAATTATAATACATAATATTATTAATAATATTCATATAATCTTTATCTAATATAACATAAAAAAACCAATAATATGAATATTAAAATAATAATAATAATTATGCAAAACTCATGGTATAGTACTGTATTTGTATTTTGAGCAAAATAAATTCCTTATGCCCTATCCAGACTATCAAATTTCATTTGACAAAAACTGTTGTATGCCCATATATAGTCATGATGTGGCTATATATGGTCATGATATGATGTAATAATGACCATATTTAGACACATCACATGTTTCTTTCAAATAAAATTTGATAGGCTAGACAAGGCTTCAAATGTTTGACCAAACAGAAATCTGAATTTCAATGTGCTAATGTTGAAGTAAACATTGCATATAACTTGCAAATGTTTACTACTTCAGTACACTTTGCAATAATATGGAATATACATGTGTGACTTACCTGTTCCCATGACAGATCCAAATCTGGAGATCTTTCTCCTTCCATTGTAAATGTTTTACCTGTGCCTGTCTGGCCATACCTACATTATAAAAACATTAAATTAGTAATTAATCATAATACTGTGATTGGCTGTCAAATGGATTTTGTAAGAATATTCCTGTATTAGCTTAATACTTTGTGAGGAATAATTTTTATTTATGTAAGTGAAAATGTAATATCTCTGGCATTGTGACAAATTTTCCTATTCAATTATTTTTTATTGTTTATTTATTTCCTGGCTTTAGCAATTGAATAAATCAAATTTGTAAGTAAAATTTTGAAAAAATTCAAGTGCTGCACTTTAAAAATTGTAGACAAGCATGTTAAAAATGAAAGCTGATGACTTACGCAAATACAGTACAATTGTATCCCGCCAACACTTCATCCAAGATAGGTGCAACTACTCCTTTGTACACATCAACCTGCTTTGCTTTTGGACCATAAACCTAGACATATATAAAGAAAGGTCAACATATTTTGATTATAGTAAACAACTGAAAATACCTTTTTACCTTAATACTAATAGTACTGTAGTTTGATGAATATTCATCTATCAAGGATGTAATTAATATAATATTACTAGTAGTAGTAAACCCTATTCTCTTACAAACTTTACCTTGTCAAAGCTGAACGTTTTGTTGATGGACTTCTCTGCTACTTCCATGTTTACTACGACTTCTTTTTTGATAGAATTGGTCTCTACAACTTTGTGTGATCCCTGCTTCTTTTCTGTGTTACTTATAGGTCTATAATAGATTCAAATAGAAAAAAAGTTTTGGGTCAGTTTCAAGGTGACTGTCCGCTGTCAGGACTATTCTATGCAATTACGATTACAGAAGCTTTTTACTATTTGAGAGCTGTAACTGTGTTTAGACCAAATCTACCAATAGACATGAAATATTTACCCATTGAGTTTACCTATGCTGATGACATTTATTTCCTTTCTGAACTCAAGAATGAACTTGATAATATCTTGCCAATCGCTATTGAAGTTTTAAAGATTGTAATTGGATTGGACTGGATTGGATTTATTCAGTGTAAACACCAAGGATACCCCACAAAAGTCTAGAAGACTTATTTCCAGTGGGGTCCTTCTAGTGGTGATTGCGCAGTACACCGGGAGACAATCCCCTACTCTTTTCCGAAGAGTGTACTGCGTTCTTTAACGTGCACATGGGCCATAAATGCACACGGGACCACCGGCTGAAACATCTCATCCGAAAGACGGTGTGCTATTGTAGCTTGTATTTCAGCCCTCTAGCTGAAACACAAGGAGAGGCAGTGATGGGATTTGAACCAGGGACCTAGAGATCTCCACGGTTCAGCGCACACACAGTGGCTACCAACTGATTAGCCGACTGAGCTAAGCTGCTCTCTCAATTTGTTTATAAAGGCAAGACAGATTTTAACCATGGGTTTATTGATTGTAAGGAACCAGAGTTAGAAGTTCGAAGATCTCATAAAGTAATGGGTTAGACACCACAAAAGGTATAAAACATAGAATTATATATTAGCAAATGCAGCATTTAATAGCCTAAATGGATGAAACATAGATTATATGATGTATTATTATTGGTGGTGTCTGTATTATTTATACAATTCTAATAGCTGCTCTGTTCCTAAAAAAGCTATCATTAGGAAAATAATTATTACTTGTCATGTCAGTCCCACTTAAGAACCATTATATAAAATTGTAAAAAATCCCAGATGGATAACAAACTATGAGGTAACCAGTGCTAGACCTCTGAAAGCATGAATACACCATGTAAGTCAAGGTGCTTGGTCAATATACTTAGAGTGAAAGGAAAAGAAGGAGATTAACCCATAACTTGCAGCATCATTGTGCTGAATTGCGTATGGGCGTGGTCTGTGTCTACCTAGCAGCCCTAAAAAGAGGCGCTTCATGATGGTAACTACATGTTCACTTCATTCCACAACGACAGAGGCTGAAATGAACCATAACATCGTCAGGGTAACCCCCTATTCTTCCGAAAGATGAAATGGGTTCTTTAAAGTGCACACGAGCCAGATATATACACTGGACCTCCATTTTAAGTCCTTATCCGAGATGACTTGGTGATCCAACCGAGCCATGAGCGAGGATTGGCTGGAACCAACACACAGATGTTAAGGCTGTCTGTAGCTAGCAGTGCCCAATCCTTACCACTCGGCCACTTGATTTGCCAATGGGATACACGTAACAAACAAGGATATGCCTGCACATTCTGCTTTGGTATTTGCTGTTGATGTGCATTTTGATCAAAAGTCGTGTAGAAAAAAATCATTCAATGATTCAAAGCAATAATAAATTCTGTATTTTTATTTTTAGGCCGAGGCCTAGCCTAGGCCTAGCAGGTGGAGATTTAACGTATAGAAATTCACAGATAAAACCTAAGAGTAGCTTAGGCCTATCTATAAATACTACACTTGACTTAGGCTAGCCTAGGCCTACAGCAGCCTGCAGGGTGGTATTGCTGCCCACATCAATAATCATTCATGCAATCCCTGACTCTGGCTTAGCATTGCTAGAACAATAAGTTCGGAAATAAATGAACAATTGTTACCTGCACCGCACCACCACTTGGATATGTTTCTCTTGCGGCGCCTTGCCATTTTGCTTCGACATTTTGTAATGTTCAGTGCCCTTACAACTTTATATTCCTTGATCCTTTTTTGTTGTCCTCCTATTTCTTCGACATACAGCAAACATTTGAAAATTATCCACCCGATGCAAATGTCCCACTTTAATTGAAATTGACCAATCAGGTTTCAGAACACTTCATCATTCCAATGCACGACGGGATAGCAAAATGGCAGCCTACTGAAGACGGACTCAGGATCGAGAACTTTGTTTACCTAACACGAAAGACGTTTAAATATTTGTTTATCAATTTCCAATTTTAAGATTATACACGTCTAATATACTCCTTATTCATTTCTTTTTAAACGGTAGGTTAAATTATCAAAAATACATGCTAGCTTAATTGTACGCTAGTAATTTCCGCAATAACTAGGCCTAGCCTAGCCTAATCGTGGTGGTAGGTCTAGAGGCCTCGCCTAAGTAACTAGGTAGGCTAAGCCTCCTTGCTAGTGCTAGGGCCCAGACTAGGCTAGGCCTAGGCCAGACCGATACCCACCGAAATAAATTTAAATCATAGTTTTGTTTTTTTAAAACATGAAGACTCTGGCTGTAATAATTCACAAATAATTATTAAATAATAAAAGTGTTAACTTTTTGAATAATTCTCTTGTTTTTCCTGGTGGTAGTGATGATGTACGTCGTCATGATTTTTCCTTAGTTTTTAGCAGAAGTGTGGTAGAACACTTACCAGTACAGTACTTTTAAATTAGCTACAATATATGCTAACACACTCTCTTTTCAGATGTTTGCATGTAAAGCGATCTCGACAACACACTTACTTCATAAGCTGCGTGGGTTGATGAAAAATAAAAATATTGTTGGCGATGCAATTCAAGCTTATATTGTCCCCTCTTGTGATGCTCACCAGGTTAGTGAATTTCAAATTTGTATACTTATATAATTAAAAATTGGTACTGGTAAAAAAATTGCTGCAAAAAGGTATGCAGCAATTTATAACTTAAATTATAACTTAAATTACAATTTATAATATATAACTGCTGTATTCCACCATCTCATTATCAATGTTATTACCATATTTTTTTTTTATCCAATTGATTAGTAATTTTGCAGATGTTTATATTGTTGTTTATACTCATCTAAGTACATTTAAAGCAATGCGACTTCAATTGTCCACTTACCTACTTGATCTCCTTCCTAAATATATCTCCTTATCCTCCCTCCATTCTTCTGTCCTTAATTTGCTCATTTTTTCAAGAGTTCACCAAATCCTACAGCCACAGATCATTTACATTTTTAGCTCTCACACTTTGGAACTCCCTCCCTAAACATTTACCGACTCACCTTCGGTTGCTATTTTTAAGACCAATCTTAAAACTCACCTTTAGAACGTCTAAACAGGCACAGCCCCTTTGATTTTTATATAACTTCAGTTTAGTGATAAGGGTGCTTTATAAATTATTATTATTATTATTATTATTATTATTATTATTATTATTATTATTATTGTTATTGTTATTATTATTGTTATTATTATTATTGTTATTGTTATTATTATTATTATTATTATTATTATTATAAAAAAATTAAGCAGGTATTCACTTTCAGCCACATTATCAGGGATAGAGCCAACATTTTTTTAAAGTCTGGGGTCCAAAGCGCCAATTAAGAACCTATGGTCTGAGTGTGCAGGGTTGCTTTCTCTTCTGTGGGGTTCATGGTTCTTAGTCACTAAGGAATGAGTTTTAGTCATTTAAGCCATAATAATCATCAACCTTTTATATAGTGTCATGCTTGGTAAGAGATTATTTCACTGCTGCCATGGGGAAAGGGAAGCAAGCACTCTTTCACTCTTGGATCTGTTGTTGGGTATTCATGTAAAACCTTGAATAGAATAACTGGGCTTCTTTTTTTAGGACCTTGAGATTTGCTTCTTTTCGAGTTTACTTTTGTAAATTAAAAGAGGGGGACTCTTTTAAAATGGAATTCAAAATTCTGTTTAATATTTTGTATCTTTAACTATGCTAGTACATTAAAATAATATTGATACAGACATGCAATAATAATCATCAAAGATAATATCAGTGTGAATATCTTGAAAAGAAGCCCATCTTATCTTGGTTAGAAGCCCATGGCTTTTTTTCAAGATTACTTTTGCAAACTAAAGAGGGGGCTTCTATTCGAGATGGGCTTTCTCGTGAGATTAAGCCCATTGGTCTTCTATTCAAGGTTTTACTGCATCTGGTAGATTATTAACCTTTGACTGAATTTAAATGTATTTTGCCAATGAAAAATGCAGTTATATGACATAGATTTAAAATGTGACATGACCTGGTTTCTGTTTTGCAGAGTGAATATATTGCAGCATGTGACAACAGGAGGGAGTTCATCTCAGGATTCAGTGGATCTGCAGGTTAGTTTCGATCGTCAGCCAATGTGATTCGATAGAGAATGCAACGCGACTTGGCGTGCACAGTAGAATGACAATCCACCCAGTCCGCCATTGACGGTCAGCAGACGATGTTGTGTCAAGCGCTCAAAGACATCGTAGATAAATTTGTTGGCTGACGGTGGTATGAACATCATATGATACAGTTTGCCCAGCTTTAGGTTACATTCAACAACATTGCAGAATAAAAATACATCCTGTGCTATTAGGCCCAATGAAAAAAATTATTAGTTTATCACATTCGCGCGCATTTTTTTTTTGAAAAAAAAATTGGGGAAAACAAAATTTCATTTTTTTTTTTTTTTGAAGGGAAGAGGATTATTATTTTTTCATTTTTTTATTAGTTCTTATAGTAGATATTGTTTGTATTATCTCAATCATGTTTTACTTTGAATATCCATGCACCAGCAAACAACCCAAGGGTGATATTTGGTTTTAGCAAAATAAAAAAAAAAGCCTCCCTCCCTCATCACTTTTCCAGCCTAGATAGGGTGATAAACTAATAATTTTTTTATAGGGCCTTAACCACCTTGAATTCAAACTTCTTTGAATATTCTATTCTGTCCACCTATAATAAACCTCTATGTTATGCTCATATACACCTATTAATACGCATATACGCATGCATATTTTAATTGATTATAGTTGCCATTTAAAATAACATTTTAGTTTAAGTACTAGTACCTATTGCTAATATTGTATCATATTATTGTTATCATTATTTACATTTTATTTATTCCTATAAAAGCATTTTCTTAAATTTACTTATTATAGTAGTTGAATTATAATATAATTGTATCGTACCTAGCAAAATTAATTATTTTAATTTCATCTGTTTATTTATGATAAACATTATTTTATTAGAAAAACAAACAGAGGCAGTTATAGTATTTTATATGCCTACATTTGTGTTTTAAATGTTAACATTGCAGTTGAGAATTTGAATTCTCACTTCTCATTTCGCTTTCGTTCATAAGCAAATTACTTTACCTATAGTTGTTTTCTCCACCCAAGTCTTGCACTAAATGATTTTTTTTTGTGTCTATTTTCTTTACCATTAGGTACGGCAGTGATCACTGAAAGTGAGGCTGCTATGTGGACAGATGGACGGTATTTTTTACAAGCTCAATCACAGATGGACTCAAACTGGAAATTGATGAAGCAAGGACTTGTCGAAACTCTGTCCCAAGAAGAATGGCTGCTAAAGGTTTAATTAATTTAATTAACATATACTAATTACAGTAAATTCGCTGATTATTTAAAAAATATGAATATTTTATTGTTTTAGTTTTAAAAGGTAAACACTGTCTTTCCATTTTTGTAATGCACTCAATCTTTTCCCTCACTTTTCTTTTTTTCTCTTTTAGCCCTAAAATATGTTCTCTACTATTTGTTTGACAATGTTTGTTTTTGTTAAATTATGATTTTATTATAGACATATAATATTGAGAAGTGCTTTGCATTTGTAAATTAAAATATGTTATATAAATCTATTAATTATTGTTATTTTCTGAATTATAATCATTTTTTTTATTATCATCTTTTTAATTGTTTTCTATAAAAATTACCTTCCAGGTTCTTCCTGAAGGATCCAGAGTGGGTGTGGACCCATTTCTTTTTCCTGCTGGTAAACTACTTTAACTTTTTTTTCAGCAAATCTTTCTCTCATGGCTAATCCAGCTATTTATAGAACTAGCTACATTATTTATTTATTTTTATTTACTTGTTGATTTTTTATTCCCTTCACATTACTATTGTTTTTTATTTATTTCATAAGCAAGTGTACTCACATCTTACATAACAGGATGGAAATAAAATAAATATTTTTGATGTGCTATATTAATATTAGATCTAACACAGTGCTCTAGCTGCTATTGTCGCTATTTTTGTTATGGGATTCGAAAGCAAGCATCTTAACCAAACTACAGCTTCACTCCAAATAATAATATATATTAGTGATATTTCAGTATATAAATAAAAGATACAATCTCATAACTATTAAGCTTACCGTCAAAATAATCTGACATAAATTGATACAAAAACCTGTTCAGTTGATAGTTTGTCAGTGGTGTGGTGATGATGATTATCATCAATGGCTGATCCAGGAATTTGAAATAGAGTGGGCCCAGGGAGGGACTTTAACAGATGGATGGTTTATACCACCATGGTTGTGGCTGAGGTAAGAAAATTTACGATTACAGCGCCTCTAGATGGCCAGAAATGGCACTCTCTGACTTAAAATTTTAAAATAATTTTCATTCTTCTCCAATTTTTTACAATTTAGAAAAATTTAGTGGGGGTCCCGGGTTGCTTTAATCCCTCCAATTAAAGACCACTTTTCATGGTCTTTAGAAGCTTTGGTCTCTAAGTAGAATAATAAAGATAAAAGACATATTAATTTGGGACCACAGAAAAGTGGTCTTTAATTAGAGGTGGTCTCTAATTGGAGGGGTCTTTAATTAGATGGAGACCTGTATTTATTGTTATTGTTATTTTTATTTTAATTAAAATTATTTGATAAAGTTATTATTACAATTACAGTTATATTAAATTTATTTTATTAATTATGTAGATTTGTGGAAGCAGTTTAGCAGTACATTGGAAACGGAAGGTCACACCTTGGTTGCCATTGAAACCAATTTGATTGATGTTGTGTGGGGTGATGAACGGCCTGCAGCCCCACAAGATGAGGTCTTTATACAGGAATTTCAGTATGCTGGTATGCTTAAATATTATAAAGATTTTGATTATAAATATCAGATGTTATGTATTTTTTTATGATAGTGTTGCTATGTCTTACTGGCTTTGTTCACATTATTCTGGCTGTAATATACTGTTAAAAAAGTATTGCTGTAAACCATTATTATTATTATTATTGTTATTATTATTGTTATGGTACTAAAACCTTGTTCATCTCAATCCCTCAAACTTGTTACTCCACGAGTCAAGCATATTCGTACCGGTGAACGTTCTTTTTCCTTCTCTGCTCCTAAACTCTGGAACTCTCTGCCCCCTCAATTACGTATCATCTCTGATCAGGAATTATTCAAATCCAGTCATAAATCCTTCCTCTTCAAATAGTTCAAATTCTTTCTAACATTTTCTAGCGCCGGTGACAAGCCAGTTATTGTTTGCTTTAATAGACGCTTTGAAAATGTGTATTATTATTATTATTATTATTAAAACCTACCTTAAGGGGAAATTGGACAATGGAGAAATTAGATAACAATTAAAAAAACAATGTTAAGGGGAAAATAACATGACATTAAGATATTCCCCTTAAGTCCGATTTAGGTGAAATTTTTATTATTGTTATTGTTATTATTATTTACTATTGATATTTGTATGTTTGTTCTAAGGGAAAACATGGCAGGATAAAATTTACCAAGTACGAAAGAAAATGGAAGCAAAACAGGCAGACAACCTGGTAATTACAGCCTTGGACGAGGTAGCTTGTAAGTTTCCATTCACATTTTCAATTATTACCTCCGCTAAGGAGGTTATGTATTCACTGTTGTCTCTCTCTCTGTTAGCAAGATTACACAAAAACTAATGAATGGTCATCATAAAATTTAGTGGAATGGTACATAATATTCGAAGAAAGAGATGATGATTAATTAAAGGTTGTATTCAGGCACAGGGTGGAAAACAATGGAATCACCCATCATAGATGGCCTGTGTATTGTTCAGGCACAAGGCGGTGGTATACATTCTGTGGAATGACTGCTCTAGTTTTCGTATTTGTTTAAACCCCCACATGTGGAGTGAAGTTGTACTGGGTAGCCAGTGTGCCTCTAATGCTATTTCCAATCTCCAATGTGCAAATTTCCAGAATATCACCACACGCTGTTGCCAACATCTTTTGGTGCTGATTGATAGTCAAAGGCTAGGCAGCATAACAGTTGCAGTGGAAATACTGTAGCAGCAGTGTAGTGGTTTCTAGACTCTAGGAATTTTTCTTTATCACCAAAGAAAACACCATTCATTAAAGCCAAGCTCCTGAGGGAAAAAAATCTATCTCATTAACCGTTGTTGATGATTTTTTCATCAAACACCCTTTTTGTGTCTTACAAAAAATCATATCAAAATTTTTTTTTCCTTCAGAGCCTGGCTTTAAGCCTCAAAATGCCAGTCTCAAGTTGAGTTAAGCAATAACCAGTCACTTGACTAATTATAACAAAAACAAAGGAAATAAGGTGCCTCAAGTCACTTGCAAGTTACATCAAGATTCTTTATCATTAGCTGCACACAGATTATATATATAATGGGAAGTTAGGTCTAAATTACATATAAATATTGTTTAATGTTCTCAGGGTTATTTAACCTCCGTGGATCTGATATCGTCTATAACCCAGTATTCTTTGCATATGCTGTTGTCGGTTTGGAGACTATTAGGTAAGTCTTAGTGTAGCAGTACACGGTTACATTATTACCCCCTTCATCCAAGACTCAGAATATGCCTTTGACCCTAATCGGTAATAATAGGCATAGTGGAACAATAAAAATAATAAGTGAAATGATTGATTTTGACAAAGTAATTTGAGAACATCTTTGTTTTTTCTGCGCGAGTCATAACAACCACATGTTTTAGTGAAGAAGATGTAATTAGGTAGTGACGTACCCATCGTTGCATAACAATTAATCCGTGCTCTAATTGGAAGCTAGAAAATTTACAACACTATCAGCTATGATGGACCCCTTGATCTTGATACTAAATTCCCTCTATACTTTACCAATGGATGTATAGGAATCTCAGCCCTCGTAGAGGTCATGATTCATAAAGCAAGTCTATTGTTACATTTGCAAAGATGAAAGTTACATCAGATAAGTTATTATGTTAAATAAAAAATCTATAGTCACATTAGCCAAATATATATACATAAGCAAGTCTTTAATTACATTTGGGAAGTTTATAAATTAATAAATAAATGTTTATTGCAACATTAGGTTAAGATAATTACAAAATATCTCATTCTTAATTTTCAGCCTTTTTATTGACAAAAAGAAATTGAGTCCAGCAGTTGAAAGCCATCTACAAGAATCTTCAGGGGCAAAATTTACCATTGATATACAACCATATAATACTATTCTCAATTTCTTGCAAAGTCTGTATACAGGAGGTAAAAAGTGCGGAAAAACATGGGTGCGTAGATTTGTGAAAAAGCTTTCTTGTATACTCATAGTGAATGAATGTGGGTTTTCCAAAAACACTGCAAAGAAAAACTCAAACATAAATCAATATTCTATAAATCTACAGAAATACTATACAGTGCATTATACATACTGATACATAAATACAATTTGATTTTTCACTCTAAAAGTTAGCAGGTGAATTCACTTCAGTAAAATTTATTAGAAGGTTAAGTTAACATTTAAACTATCACGGTGCAACTATTATTTAATTTCTGATTTCTTTCCAGATAAGCAGGAAATCAAGTCACGCCATTAACAAATGCATTCCACTTGTAAGTATGCTCATGATAATTATTCCCTTTTGTATAATATGAAATATATTTGATTTGCTAATCACTTAACGCCATGATGGCGGGGCTCACATAATATACCATAGATCCTGTGTTTGGTCTTTGCATAATGCTTGAATTATGTTTTTTTTTATCTTTTCAGTCCAAGACAATTATATAATAATATTCAGTTGTTTTAGATGCTGTTAAACATACAAGATTTTTTAAAACACCCTAAGTTGATAGTTCTTCTAATTCTTTCTCATTTTTTTTTTTCATTTTTTTTTTATTTTTAAGAGTAAACAGATAACTCAAATCACCCCAATCTGCACTTTAAAGGCAGTGAAGAATACAGTAGAAATTGAAGGAATGAAGAAAGCTCATGTAAGTTAAACATTGTAAATAGTTCAGTTTTTTTTTTCAGATTAATATAATTATAAACATAGCATAATTATATGGTGTATCGTTGGCTCTGAGCCTAAAATTTAAATACACTAATAATAAAGAAGATATTATTGACTTGAATTTTCTCCTACTTTGTAGATACGAGATGCTGTTGCTCTGTGTGAATACTTTTGCTGGTTAGAGAAAGAGGTTTGTAAGCTGTTTGTGACAGTTGTCCTCTGTTGTGAATGAACACATTGATAAGTGTACGACAGAGCAGCTAAGCTCAGTCGTCTAACACACATGATAAGTGGTAAAATTTATTGAAGAATAACTTACCTTAATTAACTGTATGCTAAGAAGAGATGCTATGTGGCATTATGTTGCACCATTTGTATGTATGCTATCAAGAGATGTGACGCATTTAATTTCTTTTATCAGATTGTGAAAGGAACACAGACTGAGATATCTGCTTCAAATCAATTAGAGAAATTTCGAAGGTAAGGCAAAAGAATTGTTAGACTAATTATTATTTTTATTATTATTATTATTATTATTATTATTATTATTATTATTATTATTATTATTGTTATGTTACAAAAACCTACCTTAAGGGGAACTTAGACAATAGAGAAATTAGAGAACAATTTAAAAAAATTTTCCTTGAATTAAAGAACACTATAAAATAAATAAGTGATTTTAGTGCAATTTTGTTTATAGTAAATGTTGTTATATGACTTAATCGTTAAAAATATTAGCCAATGCACATCATAAGATGATGTTTTGTGTATGTTTTTTATATTGAATAACGATAATGTTAGTGGTGATGTTAGTAATATTTTAGTGGAAAGTTGGTTTAAACAAGTACAAGACTTGATGAACACTCTGAATATAACATTCAAACATAACGTATCATATTAAGTTTTGGCAGACCCAACTGAAAATTTTCAATTCAAATAAAAAATACATTACAATAATTACAGCGACTTTAATATAGTTTTTTTTTTTTAAAGAATTGATAAATAATGATGATACATCAAATAATACATGTTTTGCATTATACAGTGCTCTGTATTGAATTGGCTTACCAATACAGTAGTTTTAGTAGGACGATGTTAATAGTAATAATGTACTTTTAACGGAAATTTGGGTAGAATGGGCGCAGGACTTGATGTGTGCCTACTGAATCAATAATTGCATACAGTAACTTTAAATCCATTCTGAAACACTTGAAATGAAATAATATTACATTTACTATATCACCAACTTTAATGAGTGTCTCTAATTAGAGAGATTCTAATTAGAGACCAAAGCTGCTTAAAACCCCTGTCCTAAATGTGAAGACCAGTATTATTATTATTATTATTATTGTTATTATTATTATTATATGTAGCAGTATTGATTTTTAAATAAATAAATGTTAAAGTTTCATTTATATAGTGTGTTTTTTTTTGCAGTTGCAAAGCATTTGGACTATTGTTTCTACTAATTTTTAATCCCCAAAAAATCATATTGTGTGATTTTTGCTGTCAATTGGCGCATATTACTAGTCATTTTGTTTCCTCTTTCTAGGGAACAAGAATTATTTGTTAGTCTAAGTTTTGATACAATCTCATCATCAGGAGCAAATGGTGCAATTATTCATTACAAGGCCACACCTGAAACTGACCGACCTCTTAGGTTAGATGAGTCATACCTGTGCGACTCAGGAGCACAATACAGGTGGGTCATTTTGCATTGCAGTAGTGGCCCCAAGCAGGGTCCAGTGGAGGCACAAACTCCTCTCTCCCCCCCCCCCCTGTCGAGGATGCCCAGTCTCCTGTGGGGGTAAAGCTGATCATTTTGTTGGGGAGAACTGCTTTGAAAAGGCATTTTGCAGTCCTAAGCTCTATAATACAGATTATCAAATTTCTTTGATAAACAAAAATGTTGTATGCCCATGTATAGTTATGATGTGCCTATATATGGTCATGATGTGATGTCATCATGACCATATTTAGGCATGTCATGTTTTTATAAAATAAAATTTGATAGTCTGGACAGGGCTTTAGCATGTAATTTCAGAGCATCTGGAGGTTGATGTAGACATCTGTCAAGCAGGTTGCAGCTCTTTGACCCCTTTCAGTGACCTTTGGCGCTTTCACTGGTACATTTCTTGCAATGCACTGTTGAAACAATATTCACCCATGCTTTCCAATATGTTTTTGATTTATAAAAATCCATTTGCATTTGTCTAATAGAGATGGGACTACAGATGTGACTCGAACCATGCACTTTGGTACACCAACTCAGCACCAAAAGGTCAGACTTTCCACAAAACATTTTTGCAATACTATAAACATTATTGAGAATCTATCAAATATTGGGAATCAATTTTTATGTTAAACTAGAAAATTTTCCTTAGAAACCTATTTTTGTAACTAATTTATAACAAAAATCCTAATTTCAGGATTGTTTTACACGCGTGTTGAAAGGAGTTATAGGAATATCATCAGCCGTTTTCCCAAACGGAACCAATGGTAGGTGCAAATAACAAGTCTTTAATATTTTTGTCCCATAGTCTTAGTTTAAAACCATACAAATTTCAGTGTTTTTTGCTCAGAAATAAGCTTTGTAATCAGACCTAGCTTTTAAAGTATTAGGCCTATGTATTTTCTTTTCCCATCCTGTAAGTCAAGAGATAAATATTGTAGTTCTTTTGTTATAAGCCCACCTCCCCCCTCCTCCCTTGAACACAACATTGGGCCAATTTTGGGGGTGGACTTGCAGTATACCCAAGAATTCCTTTTCAATCAAATGGCAATTTTTGTGGCTACTGAAAGTAGCTACTATGTCATCGAATAGTTTGCCGAGGTAAGTGACTGTGAATCTCGGTACCAGTTGACACCTTTGATCACGAGCCAACTACCAATCAATGCTCATAATTAATCTTGCGAATATTTCCGATAAAATGCGAAAGGTTACGAATGCAGGCGGTTACGAATGTTACAAAAAATGCTGGACACACAGCGGACCCTATGTTATGTTAGGTACCTGCCTCCACGTTTTTGTTTTTTTTAATGTGCGATGACAAACAAAAGTAAGTTCTTTGTAGGTACACCATGTTTGATTTCACTAAATTTGACAATTTTAGGCCTAGGTGAGCTACTGATTTCCATGTGTTACCGTACTATTAGATAGTATTATTAATTATTGTTATTCTTACGCTAAATGAAAATTTGTTTTGACGTTTTATTAGAGTCTTTTCCGTTTTATAGCTAGGCCTAGTATGCTGATTTATCATTGGTCCACCGGTGGAGCAACAATTTTACTTGTATGTCGTCGACTCAAGCCCTTGCTAGAACTAGGCCTAGTTTACCATACATAACAGACTAGTAGCAGTCTGGCTTTATTATAAACTAATACTTTAGGTCAGGATGTGATTTAATTCAATTCAATTCAATTCAATTCACTTTATTGCTTCATAAGCCATCGAGGGCTACTATCCGCTTAAACTATACATATATAGGCCTACACATAAATACATTGAAAAGAAAACCATGTAAAATAAAGCACATGCAACTACTTCATAGAAAGGGCATTCCGGATGGTACTAATGTTTAATTCATCAGGGTCAAGATTAAGAGATGAAAGAAGACGTAGAAAAAATGGAAGGAAAGATTTATGAAAACGATCGGTTTTAGAAGAAACATTTAAAAATCTGAGGTGACGAGAATTCCTAAGAGCAATGGAAGATTGGCGGCGTGAAGGAAGAAAAGAATAAAGGGAATGGTCAGGAGTATTAAGAATTCAGCCAAAAGCACCGAGTGTAAAAAATTTAATTCTCTTTTCAAATGTAAAAATGTTATAATCAGCAAAAATATTAATACACAAAGAGTAAGTAGCATCATCAAATAAGAGCTTAGCAAAAATAAGTTTGACGCATTTAAATAAGGCAAGTTCACATTGTGGAAGTTGACCATAAACACAACAAGCATATTCTAACGAAGGTTGAACATGCGATTTAAATAAAAGTGCCAAAGATAATATACGGTGTCTTACGAAACTGGATATTCATTATTTTGCATTTAGAAGGAGAAAATAAAAGGCCATTAGAAATGAACCAACGTTCAAGAGAGGCGGTAGCTAATGGAAGTGGATCAAAGAGATCATTTTTAAAAGAACAAATGATTACTAAGTCATCCGCATAGAGAGAAAAAGAACAATCACGAAAAAAAACCACAAAATTAAACATCCAGATTGCAGGCAAAAATGTTTGATCAATAAGATGTGATAACAAGTTTTTAAAAATACGTTTTCTGTAATAAACCGACTTATAACTAAATAAAAGCCTTTATTGCTATCTTGTTACAAAATTGTGGATTCAGATTATATAGTTTTTAATTACCCTAAATGCTCGCGTCGTGGTATATTATTACCTTTACCTTTTACCTTTTGTGTAACTAAAGAATTTGGGTTTTAAGTACAATGTATACAGTGTTAAGATGAATAAATAACACAATGAATACACAAGTATTTCTTCTTTTTTTTGTATTAAAGTGTTAATTTACTATGACATTGGACCTATGATAGGCCTACTGTACTACGGGAATGCGAGATATGTAACATGGGAACGTGCATGAAAAGCGCCACACCAGTATTTCTTATTATGAGCTCAGTAGCCACAGGTACCTTTTAGGTACCTATTTTTAGCACTGTATGACTAATTCAAAGCCAGTATATAATTTTAAAGGAATGTTTGTAAAAAACATATCCTGGCCTTTTTCCTGAGGTAAAGAGGATATGTAGAATTGGGCGTAAAGTAGGGGGTGGTTTTATACTCGAGGAACGGTACATGAATAAGTAAATACAATGATGAAATATCCACAATAAATATTTTTAATCCTTTTGTTCTAGGACATCAGTTGGATTGTCTTGCTCGTCTTTCCCTGTGGAACTCAGGACTGGATTACCTACATGGCACAGGACATGGTGTGGGATCATTCCTGAATGTCCATGAAGGTCCACAAGGAATCAGTTACAAAACCTCAGCTACTGATGTTCATCTAGAGGCTGGCATGTTTTTATCGGATGGTATGATTCTCGATAAGTAAAAGAATGACTAGCTGTAACCCATCCTATGGACAGGGGACAAATCACAGCCCTACTGGAAACATGGGCCTAATTTCATGGTACTGTACTCCCGTATAATACCAGTACCCGTTTGCTGGATTACCAGGGTCAGGGCCAGATTAAAATAGGCTTTTGGGGCGCCAGCCCCAATGGGGAAAATAGGCCCCGGACCCCAGGAAAAATCACCGAAAATCTGGTTTTATGTTGTAGCCACAAAGTATTTAGGCCCACTTGCAACCTATTGGAGACCATTTTTAGCCGTGGTTTCTAATTGCAGACCAAACTCCGATACCACCAAAAGTTGAGTGGTCTCGAACTGGGGGTGAACTCTATTTTTTTTTGTGCATATTCCTCACAGTATGCTGTTCATAAACCACTTGTTGTCATGGTTATGCAGAATCAGTCGCATAAAATGGGCTGTCTCCTCTAATCCTTACTGTAAACATCAATGTAAAGAGTTTATATTTGGAGAGAAGATTATGATTTTATTCAGTAATTAAAATTATTATTCTTTCAGAACCTGGATATTACGAGGATGGCCAATTTGGAATACGTCTTGAAAACATAGTTTTTATCAAGCCGACTGAAAGAGAGGTAGGGTTTTTAAATATGTAAATACTTATTGAGTTTGAAAGAAAAGTGTGTTCTCTTTACTATATTATGTATCGTTTGAAACTTGGTTTCAGCACAACTTCCGCAACAGGGGCTTCCTGACTTTTGAAGAAGTGACGTTGGTTCCCATTCAGACCAAGATGATAGATGCATCATTACTAAATGCAAAAGAGGTATATGTTAGATTATTAAACATTTAGGTTTCCCATTTTCAGCGAGCAACTCTTCAGTAACAGTATTGAATGGAAAAGGTGGAGAGTCCATAACAGCGTATTACTACCCTTTCTCTCCCTTAGTTTATATTTCAAAATCTGTATCTTATTGACTGTTTCCGGGTTTTCAGTTGTACATATAATTTTTTTCCTCCGGAGCCCGACTTTAAAAAATTTGTACCTGGAACCCTGGGATTAGATAGGAAGTATGTTATATAATTAACCAGCTGTACTTTGTTCCGGAATGGAATACAGTTTACCGGCTTGGGCTCAGATTCTTATGAGAATATTAGATTTTCTCACAATGTTTTTATGTTCTTTTTTTTTAATAATGTATTTTCAAAACTTGAAATATAACTACTTTTATTAATTACTGATACTTTTTGTTGCACAGGTGGACTGGTTGAATAATTACCATATGAGGTGTCGCAAAATTGTTGGCGACGAACTTTTGAAACAGGGTAGAAATGATGCTTGGCAGTGGTTAATGAAGGAGACAACCCCTTTGGGGTAAAACAAGAGTAATATTATGAGGAAGCAAGATAGAATGGAACTGTAAATGACTACAAAAGGAAAAAACATTGAGTCTCTTATGAGAAAACAGAAACAATACAAACAAAACTAATAGTTTTATATTCGTATCAATGAAAAAATATTTAATTAATATCCAGGTATGGCCATTCAAGGAGACCAGATCAATTTTACTCTTAAATATATATTTAACATACGTCCAGAATATTGTAATATATAATTAATTAATTAATTATATAATTAATGGCACTAAATGTTTTAGATTAGGGAGCTTTCAATTTGCATGATGGTAGAACGTATTCAATCATGCGGGATCCTACTAAGTTCTCTGTTCAATGTAGATTTGTCCAAATTGTGACTAGAATCCATTTGACAAGAACTCAATGTTCTCCCATGCGCAGATGACTTCTTAGTGACGTCATTGTGTTCTACGCCCTACCGTCGTCGTGCAGTCAAAAGCAACCTATTAAGAGGCTGAGACCTTCAGACATATTTTGGCACTACAAGAGTCTGAATGATCCACTATCATTTCTACCTAACTCGCAAAGCATTACAGTAATTATTTCTTTCTATTCCTCTTTAATTTAAAATTTTAACTCATTTGTTTTACATTAGTTAGGTTAATTGCATCATTTGATTTTTTTTTTGTTTCAAACTGAACCACTTTGGAAATCAGTATAAACCATTAAAGCTAAAATACCCATTATAATTGTCCAACATGAGGTGAAAGTTCAATCAATTTTAATATATTTGTAGATGAATTTTTAAAGATTTAATATCACAAGTATTCTTATGAAGTACTTAAATAATGTATGTATATTATGCTGTCTTCTGAATCTTAACATTTCTATTTATGCATTTTAAAGTGCATTTTCATATAGGCAAAATAATATATCACATATCGGGAGTAGATTTTTGTTTGTACATCTGTGCGTACTGTAAATTATTTTACCCACTACTGAACTAAAATCAAAGAGTACAGAAAGTACAGTCCAATATGAGAACTATACCCCTTTAACACTACTGTATTAGCGGGACTCTGGAATAAACCTGCTTTTACTTCCCAGTTGTCTATACACCAAAGTTGGGGTTGTAAATGGGTGTTGGTCAACGACTCTGGTGTGCGGAACCCGAGTTTAAAGAAGCTGAATGTTTTCAGGAGTAGCATCTCCGGGATAGGCCCGTTTTTCCCAAGCCGGGATTTTAATCATCCACTTTCATTAAAATTATTCAGTTTTTTTTTTTAATAATATAATTATTTGTATATTTTGAAAGTGTTTTGTTAAAAATAATAAACATAATGTAAGTTATATTTTATTGCTTTGCTTATTATATTTAATTCAGTTTTTAGTGTACAAATAAAATATAATGTTTTCCCCCTGCGAAACTAAACTTGATTGCAGACTAATGAGGTAGTTTTCTTCAAAAATGTCCATAGAGGGCAGCATCCATTGTCAAGTGTAAATGGGTTTTGGCTTGATAGTGTAAAAGTGGTATAAGTAAATTTTACTGTTGTATGCTCATATAACGTCATCATTACCTTTATACTCTGGACAGCGCTTAATGCATGGAAAGTTGCCAAGTATGCCCTTGATATGATATTAACAGCATTCATTTCTAAAAGCATTCATAAAAACAGGTACAGTATAACCAGTGGCAGATTCAATTTTCAAAGAAAATCAAGAAAAAAGAAAATTAAATTGAAATTTCTGAGGGTGCTATTTCCCACCACAAATTGGTCACTTGCAAAAAAACACCTCATAATTAGCCTCATAATCCAGGGTAAGTGTATGGCCAGCTTTCCTGGCACCAAGGCTAGCTGCACCAACTGCAGCGGTCTCTTTTAGTTTAATTAACTGGAACTTGTTTATTTCAACATCGTCTTCTGATGACCTAGGCTTTATCCCTTCAAGGAACCCTGCAAGACATGATATGGTGTATTATAGTATTACTGTAAATTATCATTACCTCCGCCATGGAGGTTATGTATTCACCGCTGTCATGCTGTCTGTCTGTCGGCAAGATTATGCAAAAACTAATGAATGGACCATCATTTATTGGAATGGTACATAATAATCGAAGAAAGACACCATAGGGTCAAAGGAGAAGGTCACGGAAATTCAATTATTTACCCCAGAGCATAAAGTAAAATAATGGAATTGCCACTCCTATTCAGGCAGCACTCAAGAAATGAATGTACCTGAATATGACCGGCAATTCCATTATTTTCTTGAGGGTATGCTGCAGTTTCGCCATCATACAGGTCCTGCTTATTGTTGATATAGGGCGGAGGTATGCACTCTATGTAGTGACTGCTCTAGTCTTTTTCATTAGACAATCCCATTGTGTATGTAAATTTATGATTCATAGTTCTGTGCATAACAATATATGATATGATATAGATATGCAATATTTATGTTTAGGTGACAGTCCCTCAAGTATTCTGTCTGCTTTTGGCTGTATAGCCAATCACAGAATGGAGAAGTCAGGATGTTTATATTTGGAATAGGAATATCAGCCTGAAAAAGAACAATACAGAAGCGAATACTACTCACCATCTTTTAACACTTCCCAACTCTTCCAAACGTTGCCAACACATATTACTTGCAAGCCACATGTTTTATTTAATAACATCTTTTAGATTAAAAAAAAGAAATAGAATTATGTAAAGGATGTGGATCATTTGCATAATTTTAAGTTTCCATCTTGACTTTTTTTTAAATCTTATGTTTATTGGGCATGAATAGATGAGGCTGCTTCAGCCAATTGCAGGAAAGAGTGCTTGCAACTTTCAAATTTTAAAAAGGCATAAGAGCAACAATATTAAGGAAATTAGCAATTGAAAATGGGGAAACATGACCCCACCCTTCTCATTTATTATATCATGTAGGATTTCAAAAACATGGGTGAGAAGAGAGGCAACATACCCTTGTGCCTTACTCACTATCTGGGTTGGTTCTCACCTTGTCTATTTTGGAAGACACACCTCGAATATGGTTACCAAGGTTTTTGCCTGTTTCATGAAAAATCCAACAGCAAAGAGGGTCTTTTTCCTTTATAGCTCCTATAAGAAAAATCAGAGAAGTTTTGCTTTAATTATCTAACTGTTTTTTTTTTTTACTGAAGTTGAGATATAGTAAATATAAATTACTTACCCTCTGCCAGAACTTTGCAAAAGCCAGAAAATTTTGATTTGTCAAAACCTGTATAGGCATGGGAAAGAATTGCAAAACGGCTGTTTATCTGAAAACAGAAATTGATAAAGCAAAAAGTAATATTATATAACATCAAAAGAAATAAAATGACTAAATTTATCAAAAGAATAACTGCCTGTGTATTTTTTTGTTTTTGTTTTTGTTTTTTATTAATTTGATAAATTTATGGCATAATAGCTGTTATCCATAAGATGTTCAGGCTCAGGAAACATTTTCAAGTTCCAAGTTTTTATTTTGCACTGAAGCTTAAAATAATGTCTGCAAACACCATTTTGGCGCCTGATGTGAGACAAAAAAAATTTTAAAAAACAATTATATGGTCTGTATTCACATTTTAATGACAAATTCCATTTTTTTATGAAATGATGCACGAGATAATACAAAGTAGGCGCAAGACATTAAAAGTGGATGCTCACGCGCGAGACTTACGCATTATGCGTGAGAGTTGGCAGTGTGTGTGGCATGTGGCTTTCCAGTACAGTTACTTACTGACAATAATACACATATCCAACTTTGCAACTTACATTGTAAAATTCTTGCATGAGTTTCTTAACATAGGTAATGTCATGAGGAGGCGTTCTGTAATTATCGTCTGCTTCAATTACGGTTCTTACAGCGAGCATGCTTACTTGAAACGCTGCAAGAAAAAATAGTCCGCACTCAGTTATATTGACTCTCACAGCACGTAAAGTCAGGGACTCACTACGTCGTACGACAAATCCAACTCCGCCCCCGGTGACGCGACAGCATCTGTTGATTGTTGGCAGTCTGGACGGATCATCATTAAAAACGATCCGTTGCACGTGTCGTGGCATTGCATCTTTATTCATAGTATCGCATCGGCCGAGGAACATCAGACGCAGTGAATGCCCGGCTTAAGCTATATTTACACTACACACGATAAACACACGGCAACGAAATATCATTGCGGTGTTTATATTCTTCAACACTGAGCGTATTTTTATCGTGTCGTGTCGTAAATGTAGCTTTAGGAGGTTTGTGTATGTGCTCATTTGTCAACAATAGCTTTTGCAATTAATTTAGTAATTAACTTACATTTGTTATAATAGTTCTTTTCCCCGTTGTATCTTGTATTTATCTTAGGTGATTCATTCTTGATGTTTGTATGGTTCCTTTTTGTTTAATATATTTTATACTATTAAAGAATATATAAATTCAACTCGAAGTTGCAGTAAAGAAAGATTGATTGATTGAATATCTTTACACCAGTTGTTTTGTGCTGGGTGAGTACTCAACTTAAATGACCAGGTTACAACAACTAACCTGACCCTCCATCTCCGAGCATATGACCCCATCCACCACATCCAAACACCTCTCCGTCTGGGTTTATGAGTTGGCAGTTGGACCCAGTTCCAGCAATTAACACTAGCCCACCTGAATAATAATACAGTGATTGCTAAAATTTGAAACATATTAAGTCAAACATATATAATCAAACTGACCTCCAATGCTATTTTTAATTTTGTGCATTATTGGTAGGGTACAACTGGATGACCGGAATGGGATTCAACCCATACTGTACATCAAATACCCTACAAATTCTGCTGGCTGAAATTAAATAACTGTTAACTTTATTATTCCCCCCAGGAGTCCAGGAATGGACTTTCACAGACAGAGTGCCTAGGCCACCTAAGCCCCACTATGGTTAGTCGCCGAGTTAAGATTGTGGTACTTCTCAAATTTTAATATTAATTTCTTTTCTTCACCATTTAAAAAAATAATTTTGAAAACTTTAGTGGGGCGAGGGGCAGGCCAGCTGGGGTCCGCCTTGAATCTGCCACTGCTAGGTACCTGTTGCTGAAGCAGTCTCTATTGCCCCGTAGGTGTCGGTGCACACTTGATAGTTCTCACTGATGTTTGGAAACTTGTCCTGCATTCCTGATATTATCTTCATCTGTATCTCTTTTTGCTCTCCTCCGCTTAAAGACATCCCCTTATCAAAATAATAAAGAAAAGCTTGATAGGTAGCTATGTATCAATAATTATCTATTTTATTAGGTTTTTTAAACTTATATCAATATAAATTATAGTATACATAATACAGCACACATACTGCAAAATGAGCTACTTTTCGCAAAGATAAAATAACAATGAAGAAGCGTTATGGATGAAACTTAAACTGGTCAGACAAATCCCAAATAATAAAAAAGATCACAGACAAACCATAATGATTTAAAACTTACCAATGATTTCAGTTTAGTGTCCTCGGAAATGTTTGCTTGCTTCTTGGCATCGTTTACTAGAGCAGCAATGGTTGTCAAACATTTGTCAACGCCTAAGAGCTGATGAAACAAATTTCAGAAAAGAGTAAGTTTAAGCATAAATCACTCTAAAGCTGTCATAATTTTGGTACAAAATTGCAAGAGGCAATTGATCCAAGATTATTTCTACCGAAGATGGAAGCGGCAATTAAGAATTTTTGGCCCTAGAGAGGTGGTTTTGGCAGTGTTCCCTCTATCATGGTCTTTTGTGGGGGGTGGGGGGTGGATATACGGTATGTTACGGAAACTTGCATTTCAGCCCTTCAGCTGAAGAAGAGCAGCACTGCTGAGATCTCTGTGGTTCAGTGCATGCACAGAGGCTACCACCAGTTTAGCTGACTGCTCTCACTATGCACTGGTACAGTAGGCATCTATTAACAATGAGACCACTTTAGCAAAACTGCGAGTAATTACTTACCCACGGATTAGTGCTAGGCCCTTCGGCGGTTGCCACAACTGATCCATTTTGCTTGAGTATCACTATGGTAGAGTGGGTAGCACCCCTGAAAGCAAACACTCAATTACTGTAACCACCATGTATTAAAAGGGCAGATCAAGGGGAGGGCAATATTCAATTAACACGGCCAATGATGCTTAGTATTTTTTGGGTATGAACACTGAGCTGAGTTATAGTTGGTTGAAATATCATGTCGTTGAATTTATAAATCCTACTAGGCCTAAACTGAGTTTTGCAAAAGATGATTTTTTTCTCTTATAACCTTTTTAACAATTTTAATATTTCTAATACTTTTATCTTTTTCATTTACTTTGTAATATTTGTAATTCCAATTGCCAACTCAATTGAGTTTTTATTGCCAATGGCTTCTGCTTTTGAATATGCAATTTTTAATATTTTTTATGTATAAATTTTGATAAATATACCTGTCAATTATGTTTAGTGTTTATTGAGTTTAATTAAACACTGAACAGAATTTTAGTTGGTTGAAATATCATGTTGTTGAACTTATAAATGCTACTAGGCAGCCTATACTGAGATTTGCAAACAATCATTTTTTTCTCTTATATTGATAATCTTAAAAACAATTTTAATATTTCTAATACTTTTATCTTTTTTATTACTTTATAATATTTGTAATTCCAATTGCCAACTTATTTCAGTTTTATTGCCAATTGCTTCTGTTTCTGAATTTGTAATTTTTAATATTTTTTTACGTATGAATTTTGATAAATATACCTGCATAATATCAAATTCAGAGTATGCTGAAGTGGCGGATCCAGGAAAAGATTAAAATTAAAGTAATGTATATGAATATTTTCCAAAAAAATGTCATTTTTGGGGAAATTTGTAGACACTGTGTCTTTAACCCTTGGATCCGATCATCCGCCTGGACCTACACACAGGTTGAGGTATGGTATGGTTGAACTACGTCTGGGCATCATGAATACAATATTATTATTAAATACTGCCTATAATAGGCTACCTAGGCTAGGCTTCCTACCTAAGTCTGTAAATGAGTGCCTAGCGGCTATGTTTAGTCAGTCTGACTGAAGGAGTAGGACTAGGCTAGCCTACCTAAGCCTACTGTAGAAACACCTTAGATTCTTCAATTAGCACCTCGCGGATCCAGGAAAAGATTAAAATTAAAGTAATGTATATGAATATTTTCCAAAAAAATGTCATTTTTGGGGAAATTTGTAGACACTGTGTCTTTAACCCTTGGATCCGATCATCCGCCTGGACCTACACACAGGTTGAGGTATGGTATGGTTGAACTAAGTCTGGGCTTCATGTGCATCATGAATACAATATTATTATTAAATATGTTTTTATAATATTAATAAATATTATTATAGTTATTTTTGGATATGTTTTGGTTATTATGATCTGCTACAGGTCTACTGCCTATAATAGGCTACCTAGGCTAGGCTTCCTACATAAGTCTGTAAATGGGTGCCTAGCGGCTATGTTTAGTCAGTCTGACTGAAGGAGTAGGACTAGGCTAGCCTACCTAAGCCTACTGTAGAAACACCTTAGATTCTTCAATTAGCACCTCTGATTCACCAACTCATTAAAATAATTATTAATTACCCTTCAATTCCTCCGTAAAAATATTGTTCAGCCATTTCTGCGGTGTGAACATAACACGTTTCTTTATTATCATATGTCACGTGAGAGCAACGTGACAGCAAGAGCTGTACCACCTGATGGACCTTTCCATTAAGCCCCGCCTCTTGGATATTCGTTGCCAAGGTCCCGCAATAAAAATACAATGTCAACGTACGTAAAACACGTGCGTTTGTGTGACAAGTGCGTATTCCTGACCCTCTTCTCATTGGCCGGTTGTTAGGTTAAGTTTGATTGGAAAGGTCATGGAGATACATTAAAATATAGTAAGCCATATAAGTGTAAGAACTAAAATAAGGAGGCAGGAGTAAAAAAAATCATGAAGATGCCCATGTTTTGGAAAACTACATCTTCGCATGCACTCAAGTAGTCAGTACAGTATCATGATGAATACGAATATTTATTTGAGACCACGAAAACGTACTTCGAATAGAAGCCCTGGATTTTTCGAGGGCCTTCTTTTCAAGATTATTTTTGCAAACTAAAAGAGGGCCTTTTATTCAAAATGAATGCTGTAAATATTTGAAATTGGTACTATACGACATCTTCCAACTATATGGAATTTAATATTTTCCAAAATTCTAACCATACTAGTACAGTAAAATAATAGGCCTATTGATACTCACTCGCTATGATAATCATCATCATAATCAAAGATAGCATCAATCTGAGTAAAAGAAGCCCATACTATATTGATTAAATGGGGTTTTTGTTTTTGTTTTTGTTTTTGTTTTGTTTTTTTTTCTCAAATGGGCTTCTTTTCGAGATTACTTTTGCAAATTAAAAGGAGTGTTCTTTTCCAGATGGGCTTCTCGAGATTAAGCCAATATTGATTTTACGGTAGGCCTACATGTATTGCCTTTTATGTGGATTAGGTCCATGCTTCCAAGTTATTGATTACTGCATCGAGTTATTCTTTGAAGGTTTTCACAATATGAAGGTTTGCATATCATTCCGGTTATCACAGTTATTTCCATATTTGGTCATTATTTATGTCAAGGTACTTGTTTATGAAATTACAATACACATCTATCTATAAATAGAAATTATGTCACTGATCGCCCTCTATATACGAAGAATCAGTATTGATTTACTCATTACTCAATTTTGGTGATTACTGTAGTTATTATTCAAATTCGTCATATGTTTTAAAATATTATGGCATCATACCATTTAAGTTTGCTAAGGTGGTGTGATTAATTTTGAGCCGAAGACCTACGTTAGAAACATGGAAATAAATTCAAACATTCAATACCTATGCAATACAATATTTATTTCATTTCATTTATTTTTATTTATTGTCACACGTTAGGCAATACGTAACGATGCATTAAAAAAGTATAAAACAAATTTAATTAAAGAACAGATAATTCATCGATAACACTGTTACTTCAGGAAAAAATTGAATTATCAGTTGTACTGTACCGGTGATATATAAAAAATACATAAGACATAACATATTTCATAATAAATTTATATATCACTGATATAATTAAAGGAAGAGGGAAAGAGAAAGACAAAAGTTATATGGATAAACATTTCGATAACCTGTTTAAATGTTTTAAATAATCACAAATAAGTATCCAAATTAGAGCAACAACATCACTTAATCAATCAATCTATTCAAAACATTAGAAATAATGATAATAACATTAATAGCATAATTACACAATAACAATAATACTGTAATTTTACAGGAGGTAATAACTTTCATTATATTTTCAATTAACGACTTATGACTCATTATAATGTTTCGCTAAGCGATGATCATGTTATGAATATACATAAGCAAGTATGCTGATGGATACCAAATATAGCGATGACACATCCCTATATGGTAGCACAGTTCGACCAGGGAGCGTTATCGATTGCTGGAGCCGGTGCAAAGGTAGGGGTTTACAAGATACCAGCTACCTTATATGGCATGGGTTTATCTGTGTGTATCATTCCCTTTAATTATATTTGCTAAATAGGATGGTGATGATTGTGTGTGCCCAAATAAGGACATGTAACTTAAACTAGAATGGTATAAAAGTCGGTACGAATTCATTATTTTCATCGCAAATTATTGTACGTACCTAACTAAAGAAGAAGGGCATTTAGTATACAACGCTATATTAAGAATTATTATTTTTCAAGCTTTAATTTTTTCAACTCAAACAGGTAAGGTCAGTTATTATATACACATTTAGTATCACTAGCATCGAACGATTTCAAGTACTTAATAATTTTGTTAATGGCATTTTAGATAGAAAGAATAAAAGAATGATAATTTTAATTTTAAATAAAATATTATGCTATTTGATCGTCGTAAAAAATTAGAAGTTTGAAAACTGTAGCGGTTAATTATTTGTTTATCCTTAAATCATTAAATGAAGCCTATGTATAGTAAACCAATATAAAGATCTTGCTTTTCAGTTAGATTCTAAGTTCAAACCATGCTGGATTTATTCTCTCTCCTATAATAAATCGCAATAATAATTTATAGCATTTATTTGTTAGATGGGATCAAATGCATAGATGCATTATTTATTTAAATGTGTTACCGTACTACCGAGCAAAAAGTCAAACCAACTTAAGTAGAGAAA